GCTAGAAAAATCAAAAAGGACAGGCAAAGGGGCTTGTTTGTATGTTGTTGAATTCAAGCTGGGGCTTTGTACTGCACTGGTTTGTGGTGAAGTCTCCCAAGAACTCTTGGATTTCACAACGTTTGTGTTCAGTTTTGATGTGTGCAAATAAGGTGATAAAAAGGTGTCCCAATGGTTTGTATGCTTCGCCTGACTACCTGGCACAGACATGCCAAACAAGCTAGTACACGAAGAAGGAAAGCATAGTACATTGAGTTCCCCCCCCCCCCATCATAAAAGACATGAGTGAGCAAGACGCAGAGCTGCTCCCGGCGTTTCTTTACAACAGTCAAAGGAACAGTGTGTATCTAGTCCACAAGAAACAGGCTGTGTAGCACAAAAAGCCACAGAATTCAACTGCTCACCAAATCTCTGTTGCTTGCTTTCATTAAAAAAAAAACAAAAACAAAACAAAACTAAAAATTTTGTAAAGACAGGAAACAAATGTGACAAATGTACAGGCAGGACTGGCTAAGGAATGTCAACCATGAAACAAACTTACATTCAGTCCAAAAGCAAGTAACGTTTCTGTGCTCGTACCTGTCGATGTACAGAAGAAGTGATGGGGCTGCCATCCTGCTCTGTCACCACAAAACACACGGGGAAAAAAAGCAGAGACTGAAGCACCAAGGGGTTGAGCTCACAGAAGTAAACAGAAAGGAGGGCAAAAACTCCTGATGAAGTCAAAGCTCTCCCTCAGTCAAGAGTCAGGCCCATAGTTTTAATAACAAGAGAGTCTAAAAAAAAGTCCCACACAGCCACTACGCTGAGGCAGAGTGAGACTATGAAGAAACTGCTGCAGCTCCTCAGCGTCACTGCCTCCTCAATGAGAGGCCTGACTTCACAAATGGGTGGGGAGGAATCTGAAGGGCACTGAGGGAATGAGTAACTTCTCCATGTGAGGGAGGAGGGAAACAGAGAGAGAGATAACAGGACAGAAGGGTAAAGGGAGGAGGAACTGCCATTTAACACATGATGCATCACACTGAATCCAATTGATTTATTTAATCAAAAATCAATTACATTAAACAATGGTTTGTGTTCGTCTGATAACCTGACAGCCTTTAAACAACTCTAAATCCTCCGCATCCACACTCTGCTTCTTTTGTATTTCACACTTGTAGAAATACAAAACCAAACATTGCAGTTTCACCAGCAGACAGCTTTACAACCGGGATGGATTTACTGACAACCACACAGCTAGCTTAGCCTTGATGACAGCGCACAGTTACTCCAAAAGACCCGACCTAAGCTGCATGGTCAAACACCCTCCAACGCTAAAAAAGAAAAATGACCGACTGCTGAATGTAGGTGTACCTGTGGCTAACATTAGCATGCAAGCTATAACCCCATTTTGCATTTTTTTGCACACAAAAGGCCCTTTTACAGCCTGTGCTTGGTTTGTTGGTTTGAGGCTACTATAGAAACATGGCGGTGCAACATAGTGGGGCCCCATGGAAGAGGACCCGCTCAGTGTGATGTAGGACCTCATTCTAAGCTGATGAAAACACAACTATTCTTAGTTTTAGGTGATTATGCACCAAATAAAGAATATGAATGTTATATTCCGTTGATGCCAAAAGATTCCCCTAAATCCAACACACTGGTCAAGGAACAACAGCTAACTCTCAAACAAGCCAACAAAATGTACAAGTAACAATGCTAACATACACAGGTAGTTACAGGTATTAACCATGTTCTTAGTTCAGCATGTTAGTATCCTAACGTTCGCTATGTAGCACTAAGCACAGAGTACAGCTGAGGCAGAAGTGAATGAGATGTTAGTTTTAGTTGGTTATAAAAAAAAAGACAAGAGTCAGACTTTATCCTGCTGGTGGCATTAAAGGAAAAGTCAATGCATCACTTTAGTCATTAGCATTCATCCTCTGAGCACTGTGAATGCATGAAGCCAATTTCATGACAATGTAGTTGAGACTGACAAACCATTGTTGCCATCCATAGAGCCATGCTGCTAATGTGGCTAAAGATTAAGAGATCAATGTAAAAAGTTATGCTTTATTGACCATTTTATCAACTGCAAGATCAAAGTCATCATCAATTATTGTATCAGTCACAACTAAAACACTATTATTGGTCATCATCCTATTATGTAATAAATAAATACCAAGAGGGTTTATTTTGTTGTTTTTACAATGTATTACCTGGCTCTATAATGCTTTAATCACATTCTTTAATTACAGGTTGTAAAATACTGTAGGTCTTAAAACCTTGAAGAAAACCTTGAACCTTGTCCAATCTCACTCACACACACACACGCGTCATTAAACAACACAGCAGGTGTCAGATTACAGCTGAGAAAAGAATTTTCTACCAGCAGCATGGTTTGAAAAATAAAAGATACACGTTTGACGAGGTGCTATAAAATCCCCTTCCCTGCTCATTCGAGGACAATTCAGACCTCAACAGAAAATGTTAGTGAGAGATAATCAGAAGGCCTGTTTGATGATTTTTAAATGGCTACATGTGAACAAGGCCAGTGGGTGTGAAAACAGCTTTTGTTCAAGGAACTTCAAACATAATGTTCAGTATGATTTCAACATACTAATAGGTTGCACAATAAACTCATCATCGTCATTCTTCATTTATGCCGCCAGAGCAATGTGCATCACTACTGTATGTAAATTAATACCAGAATGAAAGTCTTTGTGGGTAAATAGAAAGTGCTGATGAAGGATCTTTGTGGTGACTTGTAAATCATTCTGACTTTGTTTGATCAAGATCTATAGGCTGACCAATTACCTGGTAGTTTGCCACTCTGAGTTGATCAAACAAGCAAAAAACCTAGTACATGTCTAGACCGCCTTTGGTCAAATCCTGATTTTATAACTGTGACATCATCTGACAAAATCACCAAAGAGAAAGTGAGAAGAGACGGACTATCTTTCTTATTTAGTCTCACACAGCTCACAGCCTCCATCTGGGATCCACAATACTTTATTTACTCAACTCCAAAACGTAACAGACTTTTATTCAAGGCAGTTCTTTATGTCTAACTCCCTCTGTTTGATATTATTGTAGAATTAGTCAGAGCGGTATTTTAGTACGACGCCTCATTTTCAGTCGCGTCTCATTTACAGTTGCAGGTGTTTCTGTTGTTTAAATGCTATTCAGTTTCTTTATCTTACCAATGACTCTCCCTCCCTCTCTCCTGCTCTCTCTGCTCAGTGTGTCTTATGTTTAGTTATTCCTCTACCTCCTTTAGTCATAATGATGCTTGCAATGAAAGTAGTTTATTTGCTGTAATGGAGGCAAGGCTCAGTGTATTGGAAGTGCTCCTCCTCTTCCCTGCAGTTCCCGAGCAGCTCGGTAGACTGCTCATAACAAGAGGTGTAGCCTTAAGCCCCTGGTCGGCATCCACACAGTCCAGTCACAACCTGTTTGAAAACAAGTCGCTAAATCTAGAGACTTGTTACGTTAAATGCAATAAAATCTTTCCAACAAATGTTATAAATCTCTCTATATGGACAGATGTCAACCCCAAATGTCAACACTGGCCGGTAACATACATGTACAGTCTGTTTAAGAGGAACGAACAGCACACACCCAATCATACACACACAGAATTGCGAAATAAGACTTTCAACATGGCTGTATCCTCTTTACAAACAGAGGTATTGTGTGGTCCCCTAGAATGATACAGTGTCACTTTGAGCCAATCAGTAACTTTAAAGCAAAATCTGTAGTGTTGCTTTGTTTTATTGAGGGCCAACCCTGAGTGCAAATGCCAAATAGTTTTTCTTTGAGAGCATAAATGACCCTGGTTTCATCAATCAGGCTTTATAAGTTATGTTCATGTGTTTGTTCATTAATCAATCTGTCCTTGATTTAGGACAGAGTCTTGAAACTAAACGTTACTAATGTTGTGCCATGTTAGGCTGAGGGCCAGCTGTAACGAGCAAGAGTGCTGGGAGGGGACAGGATGTCTTGGCCAAGAAAATGTGAAAAACAACCATAAGCAATAACACAGTCTGATGAGAGGAAGTAGAGAGGGCAGGCTGCCTACAGTTCATGGCACTATGGCATTTGTTACATAATCAATGTTCTTGTATTATTAAATTATAAATGAAGGATAACTATGTGCTGTTTCCTGTGTTTTATCCAGATAGTGGAATGAACAGATACACAAAAAGATAACAAAGGCCAATGCAAAACATATATTAAAAACTGTCCTATTTCATATTTCTTGGAACAGTTTGTATTTGGAAACCTCCCATTTAGCATTTATATGCACTACATAAACATTTTTAAAATTATTTACAACACACTATAATGTAGTTGTAAGCACGTATAAGTAAGTATTTATTAATATACAGTGTGTCACTTTTGTCCTCGCTGCATTTTAACTTTGCAGCAGCAATTGTAACGACAGTTTGCTTTCTCATTGCTTGCTCTTTAGCATGGTGTTTGTCTGTACAACTTGCAAAGGGATTTATAGACACAAAAGCCTAAAAACACAAGTTTGCTAGCACAGTGGCTTTATTTGGTTGGATGCATAATTTGAAATGCTATGGTAACTTTACCTTCCTTGTTAGCTTAAATTATCTAAACACAAACTCTCACAAGTTTTTAGTCTCTTGTGTTCTTAATGTTTTGTGTTTCTGGGCATGTCGTTTGTTTGGTGACATTTTGCTGCCGAGTTCAAATATCAACAGAATTGCTTACTATTAGAGTGAAGTAAAGTGTTACCACATTGCTCACTCAGTGCTAGCTTGAGGTTGTGGATAAATGCAGGTAAAGCTGCCGTCACATTACATAGGAAGAAATGTACGTATGACTCAATGAAAGTGCCATATCATTGTGGAGCCAAATCCAATAGACTGATTGATCAAGGCATAATTAAAACACAAAGCAATGCATTTCGAGTTTGACTCCTACTAAACAACTATAGAAATATTTGCCTTATCCTTTTAAGACAGATATTCTGTCATAACTGAACTTACCTGTTGAATAAGCTTGCCAGGGGTCCCAGTTTCTTTTGCCTGCCATCGTCTTCCTGCTGCATGACACCTGACCCCAGATATGGTCGTACAGGACTCCACAAGTCTCTTCCTGGAGATGACGACAACATCACGTCTGAGAAGTGAGCAGCGCCGATGTCGTCTGTTTCTAGGGTGACAATGGCGCTGGAGTCAGAAGTGACTGTGAAATCCAAGATGTCTTCATTGGAGACCGACAGCTCAGTGCTCATGCTGGACACACTGCACACAGAGATGTCATCGCTGCGGTTTAAGGCTCCACCACCGAGACCCATCCCCGTGGTGGCGGATAATCTGATGGCGGGGCTGAAGAGGCGGATGGAGTCGTACCCGCTGCGGGGGAAGGTGGAGGATTTGCGGATGGTGTTGTTAGCGGGATCATCATCCAAAGGTAAAGTGGCAGGAGAATCATGACTGGCGTCCAGGATGAGGCCTGCGTCGCCTGAGCGTTGGTGGCTGTGGATGATGGGCTCTGGAGGGTTGATCTCCAGAGTGGGGATACCTGAGTCCTGGGAAGTGAAGCTGTGGCTGTCCTGATCCAGGTCTGAGTAGCTTTTCTGGGGGCTGCTGTAGTAGTTGGGGGTAGAGGAGCAGGACGGCTTGTAAGTGGGCAGGACGGGCTCGCTCTGCGGGGTTGAACTGGATTCATGGCAGTGGCAGTTGGTATGATCTTGGAGGTCAGAGACAGTTGGATCTTTGACTACAGAGCCATTCTCCACTATAGCTACTCCAGACACACCTTCAAAAGAAGATAAGACTCAATTAGTTTGATTTTAACAATTTTTTACAGCTGTTTTGATTACCAGAATAGTTATAAAAAATAAAAAGTTATATTACTGTGAAAATTCAACTTGATTGATTGAAGAAATTGTAGTGGCGCGTACGTGTGACCCACGAGTGTACAACCTTCTTACCCATCACGGCCCATAGAATAATGACAAACCTGCAAAAGGAGATCAACCTTCCTATCTCACTTTTGTGTTTCAAAACAAATATTACTGGACAATACCTTTTACTGCTTTATGTTTTGTAAATCCACAGTAAAACATTGCTGCTATCAGTTTCACTGATGGACAGTTGGTGGCTGTAACGCAGAAAGAAATCAAGCAAAATGCCCATAAATTCCAGGAAGAAGAAAACTGCTAGCTTGTAAACATGGATGTAAACAGTGCAGCTTCAAACATATTTTCATATTGTATAAAGGTAGATGTCCATGTGTTGTTTGATTATAAAGCAGGTCTAGGCTCTATATTAATACTGTGAAAGTATCAAAGCCTCAGTCCACAGAGAAATGCACACAGCCTGTATTCAGACACTGAGCCTTAAAACCAGCCGTCAAAAATTAATCTAAAATCATTGTGATGATTGATTAGTTCTTATGACGTCATTTATGAACCAAAAATGCCAAACATTTGTTGGTCCTGTCCAGTTTCTCTGTTTTATATCTAAACTGAATATTGTCTGTTGATCAGACAAAACAAGTAATCTGAAGACATCCTCTTGGTCTCTGGTGCATTGTAATCAAGGATAATAACCAACCATGCAGAGCAGTACCAGGGGGTTCACCATCTGGCAATTAGTTTGTGGTTGTTTGAGTAATTGCTGATTTGTCTGGTAATACTGTGAGGACCACAGAGGAATGATATAAGGTGACACCTGCATTATTATATTACAGGCTCCTCTGAGGTACATTTTAAAGTTAAACCCTTCATTGTTCACTTTATTTTAGTGCATATGCTTAAATAAATGTATGCTTAAGTCGCCACAAACTAATTATAATTACTAAGTAATACAATGCAGAGAAAGTGGAAGAAAGGTTAGGGTAAACAGGAACCCACAGCTCATTTTTGCTCCAGGGACACCCTTAATCTGCCCTGATTGTGGTTTTCTGATATTTTATAGACTACACAATCAATCAAAAAAGAAAAAAAAGAAAGAATCTACAAATTGACAATTGCATCCTCACTAAATGTAAACATTATTAAAGGTTTCTTCCAATAGATCAGGGCATTAAAAACATGGGCGTGGGAGCCTTGAGAGGCGAAAACTAATCCCACAGTAACCAGGCTGTAACAGGACTCTGCTATGTAATGAGAAAAGGGCCCCAGCAGGGCTACATCATGCTTTAACACCAGCTGGGAAGCTAAGCTAAAGCTAGAGTGTCTAAGCTCTCAAGCAGCATTAATTAAACTCCTGACTCTCAGGGACAGACACACTCCCTCCCCCTTCTGTTACACATTTCAGATCCATTCGACAGCATTCAAACATTGCAGTTAAGTTGTAGTTGTATGTGGAGGTGTTCTGTTTTTCAACAAAACAAGGACAAATAAGGGCTTTGAAAACACACACACACACACACACACACTTGTCTTTTTATAAACAACAGTGGACTTCGCAATAACTAATTTACTGTAACTGTGACCATGGTGAAACAACTAATTTGGTAAGTAAAATAAAAAGTCCAAACCCGAGCAGAGGGACTAATGTTTTCCAAATGGTTGACACACAAAGTCAGATTCTTACCCAAGCTCTAAACCATGACCTGCATGTGGTCATGTGAGCCTGGTAGACTTTGTCCCAGCTTGATCCAGTGCCAATGGGGAAATAATGTATAACTACAGCTCAACAATAAATGTCAGGTTGTTTATAAACTCATTACTATTATTATTACCACCATGTACTGCTGTAAAAGTGGCATCCTTAGCTGAAATGCATTATATTTAAATAAAAATGCAGCATCACTCATAAGATTTTAATCACCAAGTATTAAGCAACTAACCGTGTGAGGGCCACACCAACACAGGCATGCATGTTCATGTTGTTTTAAATCATCAAAAACAACAAGGTTGTTGTTACTGTCTACTTCACTGAATCACCCACCCAAATCTTCTCCTGTGAGTCATGTTATCACTATCAATAGGCAGCATGAGGAAACGCACCTTCACTTTCATCTTAGGTTGGCTGACATCACAAATTCTGAAAAGTGGTAAATTGCTCAAGTAGTTTTCCGAGTGGTTGAGATACAGTTCAAATTTCTAAGCGGCACTTTCTCAGCTGTAGAGCAGAATGCAGGGTGTGATGCATATATTAAAGAACACATGAAATGAAATGAAAAATATTTGAGAAGTCCTTGGTTTTCCAGGCTATTTACACATCACACAACTTTTAAGTACAGCCTTACAAACACCTTGCAAGACAGTGGTGAGAAATAGACAAGTCCGAGTAGATTAAAATTCACATTTTAACTCAGCGAGTACAACTTATTAATTTAAATACATGCTGAATTGAAGACTGACCTCATATTATCTAGAGTTTAAAGTTTCAGTTTCATCTCAGCACATGCTGCTGGAAACTTGAAATGTCTGCTGAAACAAAGACTGTCTTCTGAGCAAATTAAAGCCTGCAAAATGTTAAGAGTCAGGTACATTAACTGTGTGGTTTAAGGTTTAAATTGTATCTCAGCAACTGGCCTTTTGCATATTAAATGTGTCCCGAATTCTAGACCGATATTAAATCATTCACAATTGCTCAATATTATGGTTTATTAACTGTGTAAATGCACGGTATTCAAAGACACATTTAACATAATTTTTTTTTTTTAATGCAGTTTGGCTTGACCTGTAATGTTACCAGGGAGAACAGCACGAAAAATATCAGTGCTGACTTTGTGCGTTATGTGTGTTAACCGTGATAAATACAAAGCGCATCACTGTGACCTACCACAGCGGCTGTCTCTTCGCTCCTGGTTGCCGTGGGTCGTGTTCGCCATGCTGCCGGTTGATGCTACAGGTGGGTGGCAGGTATCCGCCGGCCGGAGCGGTCCATGATGATGCTGTGACTACTGCTGCACCATCATCGCCTCCTTCCTGCCTCCTCAACGTAGCTTAGTGCACACAAGAAAAGCACTAGTGTGAGGCCATTTGTCGGGACAGACACATACATTCAACTCAAGAAGGAAAGGCGGCTGATAAACATAAACAACACGTCGAACCGGATTTGCTCGCCAAGTGCACTTGCTGCTGTCGCCAACTCACATTTTACCAGCGCTTCCTCAAGTGGAGCCAAAATAAGTTCAAATACGAGAGGCATTTGTTTTTACTTTTGCTTTCACAGCATCAATAGGCAGAAAACAATTACGAGTTATGTGACCGAGCACATTTGGCAAGTTTATCCGGTATCCTAAACATTTCGTACCTGTGTCGACGCTTCCGCCGCCATTTTAAAACAAACTTGTATCGAGAGTGCGGTGTAATCGAGTCAAGAATGTTCACCGTCGATATATTCACCTGTCTGGACCTGAAGGCATTAATAATCGACCTCATAACAACCTGAGCTCCTGCACAGTCATATTATGGAGGCATTTTGGTACAAAAAGTGAACTCCACACCTACAATTTATTACACAACGATTTATAATAGTCGTTAATATGAAAAACGTTGTAATATTACTTGTAGAATATCGATTGTCTTATTCTCAGGCTCCAAAATTGTGTTTTCTGTATAGCTGTACCTTGAATACCCTCGTGTTACTCCCTTCTCACATTGAATAGTATAGTTGCCATATTGATTGAAACCCTTATTAAACGTCCTGGTGCAGCTGTTTATCAGATTCAATCAATTCGTATGTTCTTGTATGAATGAATGCAGTTCAGAGTGCCTTATGGGTTATTTAAAAAAAAGACTACTAAGAAAGATATAGAATACATGCTAATGAAACAATGAGACCAACAAAATTAAACATTTATTTAAAATGAAGTATACAAAATGAGGAAAGGAAATTTATTTCCAAGGTTTGTTTGTTTATTGTTTGAATAATCACTTGGTTACAGCTACTAGTAACATATAAATTAATCTCATATATAAATAACTATAAATAGATCTCTTATATGAAGCAAAAGTGATGGTGACTTGATGGATGTACTAGTGTCCACTAAACAGTATACACTGATCAGCCTGACTGGTGTTAAGCACTTTTTGTTTCCAGTGACAACCCACAATATAAATATCTTAATGTAAATGGATGCTTCTTAAAATGTTTCAAACTTTCACAAAAATATTATTAAGCATACACCTTCAAATAAAATAAGAAAACGGCTAAAGACCGATATGTGTTGTAAGTTATGAAGAAGCAGTCTCTGCTACAGCATCCTGACCCTGCCCTCTAGTGTTACCATGAGGTTGTGTAGCTAATAAGTACAGCTGTTCTTCCTGTCTGAGCAGTCACCGCCTTTGCAGTCACCGCCTTTGCATGTGCACTAAAATAAAACAAAACAAAAGAGAAACAAAGAAGACAGAGGAGTTCATCGGCTGAGGTTTGGTTTATTCCTTTATTAGATGTTAAGAAAATCCACAATGAAACAAAATAATTTACTCAGGGTGTACATGAAATTAGAACAACACAGCTACTCTGGACAGATGGGATTTAGGAACATAGAGGAAGGGTGAGGGTGAAGGAGCATCATCTGGGTGGGAATGAAAAGACGAGGAAAACTCGTTTTCAGTTTTCAGTGCTGGATATGCATCTGAAAATCAGCCACCCTGTCAATGTCGCTCCAAATGCATATACCCCCACTGAATGCATTTTCTCATCATAAGTGTTTTTTGTTTTTATTTATTTTGTTTTGATTTTTTTTTTTTTTTAACACGGCCTATCAAAATGGAAGAATTAAATGGAGAAAGGTGTGATGCATTCCTTTCAACTCTCATGTAAGTTAGCTTCTTGCACACATTCATTGACAGATTCTCTCACACACACACACACACACACACACACACACACACACACACACACACATTCTTTCAATCATTGATATCACCTCACTCGCATTTTTTTTATTTTTTTAAACCAAAATATTTTGTTCAACCCAACATAAAAAGATGGAGAGTGATGTCTGCATGCTGCATTTTCAGAGACATTCCATGGTTTATTTTTTCTCAGGTGTCCCTCACTCAAAAGTAATCAACATGCAAAATTAACTGAATGACTTTTCTCCATATACTGTTGAATGTTAACATGCGCCAAGGTATTGCATAGGACTCAGGGCTTTTGAATTCCCCTCCGCATTGCTTATGCAATCTACAATGGCTTAGTTCTTTTTTTTTTTTTTTTTCCCCCCTAAACCTATAGCTCTAAATTAATGACAGTCACCTCTGTGGTTTGCTTGGAGAGAACTCCTGTCAATAATTACTGCTCTACAATCAAAGAAAGGTTTTACATTAATGCATCAATGCACTGTCACGGGTCTGAGTGTAGATTATGCAGTATGCTTATATTAAAAAATTCCTGAGTGTCTGATGACTGTCAAAGAAAGGTGACAAGACCCTGAAGTTGAGTACCTTTCATTCAGCTACTTGGGAGTCCTTTTTTCAATTGAAGTGGCATTGGATTGAACAAATCTTGGGCCTTTACAATCTTTGCATTTTCAAATGAGGAAGCCATTTCCAAAGCCATGCCCGCGATAGAGACACTTTCGCCTGCAACACTGCTTTAAAGCGAGTCTGCTCACTCTGATAACATATTTTTAATTACCCGTTAATGGAAGGATGATTTTAGTTATCTGTGCTTCAGTTTCAAGGTATGATGTGACAAATAAGTCACCCTGCTACTGTCCTCAAAACCTGTTTGAAAAAATAGAGTTAAATCAGAGGGAAATATATCTGCAGATGCTTTTAACTAAATGTAATTTTCAAAGCACAGGTCACGAGAAGGGTCAGCAAACAACATCTCAAAGGTTTCGTAGCTACTTTGTTCAGGGTGTGTCGAATTGGTGGGGCACTAATGCATTTATATTTTTGTGAATATATGTCTGCATACATTCACAATTCTCTGAGATAAAGTTCTAGTACACTCACTCTGAACCAGTGCCTTCACAAGTTCTATGCTGACACACACAGTGAGACATTACTCAATATTTCAACAAGATATATTGTAAACCAAAAAATAAAAACACACCTCACATGGAAAAAAAAAAAAAAAAGCATTTGTACCTTAGTGTAATTATAACCATGTTTTTTGGTTTGACCATTGCCCCGCCACTTGTTTTGTTATAGATTTTGTTTAGTTGCAGCATGGACAGTTAACATCACTCAATGCTGATTTTGTCCTTTCTGCTGGGAGACAATGAACTGAAACGATGTGTAAAAAAAACGTGAGATTTAAATACCTGCAAGTATTTCTGCTTCAGCTGTTACAGGCCTGACAACTAAGAGGTTACCTTAAAATAAAAACCAAGCCACATTAAGCAAAGAATCAGGCAAAACTTTTTTCTTCTTTTCACAATTTTTCGCAAAAATATATTCATGGAGTCTGACTGTCTGGACTACAAACAAAACTAGGCTTTGCCATCTACTTATCACAGCCATAAAATGGAACTGCAACTCCAAAAGATTTTTGAACATACTTATAGCACCAATAGTCTGTACCATAGAAATTACAAAAAAAAATTTAAAAAAGTTTCATTCAATTGCAACACAGGTGTCTGCAGAAATGGCTGTAGTCATGTCTTTTCATGATGGGTCTTGACCCCAGAACACAAACTTTTTTTCGTTTTTTTTCCCCAATTCTTTTACAGCATTGCATTTCAAGTAGATTATTAGTATTTTTGCCAACAAAACTCCTTTTGATTTCCTGTTTTTTTCTTTTTTTATTGTTATTTTTAAAGGATTTTTTATTTTAGCCTCACAAACCATACTATGTCTACTGCTAGCTTTTGAAAGACTATCACCATTCAAAGATCAGACTCATTTATGATAACTTTTCACACATGGGGAATTCATGGATATTTAGAAGAAAGCTGCACACATTCTCTACTTCACATTCAGAAAGTCTTCCAAACAAACTATTTAAATTAAACTCTCAAATTCTTACACAACTCAAAAATCTCAACATCTGTTATAATGTCTTTCTGAACACAAGATGGAAAGTAGAGTATGCGATAGCAGTTGTTTCACACAACATTAGGTTTAACTAGAAAAAGAGGAGTGAGACTGGCTGGACAAACATACATGCACAACCATTCAGACACCACCAACTACCAGTAACCTAGTTCAAAAGCAAAATGGTGGGAACAAAACTGACAAGGATAGAACAAAAGATTGTCCCTACTACCTAACTGTGAGACTTGAATGAGGATCAGTGTACAGAAGAATCAACTGAAACAAATTCTAAAATGCCTAAAATGCATGTCCGCACATGGCATCACTCAAAGACAGAATATGTTTTTTTGAGTTTTCCTATTTTTCACTCACTTTTTGTTGATCTGATTGTTGATTACACATGGATTTAAGTTAGTAAATGAAAACCAGCAGGGTTATGTGCGGGGTTTTGGAGGGGTGTCTCAGAAAATTAGCCTACATTAGGTTTTCCAGCTCTGAGATGACCCTGAATCTTTGCTGGTAGAGGTCCAGTCACAAAAGGAGAGGAAGTTTCCTCTCGAAGACGAGCGTCCTCTGCAAAACTGGAGTATTCAAATGTTGCTGCTCCCTGGAGAGGGAAGACAGAGAAAAAAGTTAGAATGCTGCGTATAGAAATATCCATGCTAAATATCACTGCACTGTTGCTTCCTTTACCTCCTGCATCTGTTGAATTTTCAAAGTGAACAGGGTCTAAAAAGTGCCAACTACTCAGTGTCAGTTTGTGAGCATTTGTAGAGTTTCAGTGTTTGTGAGCTGCCTTACTGTGACCCTTCAGTTTCTGTGACCTAATTAGGAATTTCAGCTTGATTGCCACAGCAAATGTCTTTACCATGTTCACTCAGGGGATTTTGGAAGCTGTTACCAAAAATGGGAGTACTGTTTAGATGGCTTAAATATTTTGACAGCAGCTGAGCTCAATATTTGGCCGATCCATCGGTTTCTTCTAGTTTCTTCATCTGTAAACTGTTAATGTACTGCAATATAATATAGTAGGAATTCACTCTCTCAAAGACTGACCATTCATTCTTAAATCAAGGTTTA